TTGGATCTTACAAAGGTTAGATGTTATATACACGGAGAGAAATAGATGAGAAGAACTTATGATCTTAAGATGGTAAAAAGTAGATGTTATCCGGTACTATCATTATGCTACTCGGTACTATCAATGATGTTACAAAAAGTATGGTTATGTTACCCACTACAATCAAGATGTTACTCCGTACAATCTGGATAGTAACTTATAGAATCTAGATTGCTGTCCGTATATATGTAAGATCAAATATGATACCTGGTACTATCTAGATAGTACCCCATACCATCTGTTTCTCTCCGTGTAAAATTGTCTATTTAAGAAGATCTGAAGAGGTGTGAAAAGGATGTCTAAAAGACGTCCTGTTTTACGTCTTTTAGACGTCCAGAAGACGTCTTTAAGGGGGTAGTCTGGTGTTTAGGCCTTTTTTTAGTACCGTAAAATGGGGTAAAGTCGGCGTTTGCGGGTAAAGTCGGCCGGCGCTTTAAATACTTAAATATTGTATTTCATTTATTAATTTACATTAATTCTAACTACATTTTTAATAAAACTCGGATTTCTTCTGGAAAAAAGTAATAGTTAAACTTTAAAATGATTTAAAGCGCCGGCCGACTTTACCCCATTTTACGGTAGCTTATTTCAGAATTTATTTTTATTATAAAATAAAATATAATCACACCAAATCTTTTTACATCGTTTTATTCTCCTTTTGAAGTGTTGAAAAAAATTATAATCGATTATTTTTTACTAGACATTGTTATTTATATTTAATATTAATGTTTATATCAAAAAAATGCTGGCGCAGGTGATTTACAAAAATCTGTTCGAGCGATTGCTCCAATTTTTTTTTAGCTTATTTTACACAAGTATGGCTGTGGCCCGTACTAGAATTACGCAATTTTAATGATAACTTTTTTTTATTTTTAACTTTTTGTCAATAAAAAAGAGACAATTTTTGAATCTTTTTGCTTATATAGTCCGCTATTTTGTTATTTATTAACAAAAACGTTTTATTGTAGTACGGGCCAGAGCCATGCTTGTGTAGAATAAGCTGTAAAAAAATTGGAGCAATCGGTCGGATAGATTTTTGTAAATCATCTGCGCCAGCATTTTTTTGTTATAAACATTAATATTAAATATAAATAACAAAATCTAGTAAAAAATAATCGATTATAATTTTTTTCAACACTTCATGATTACACGGAAAGAAATTTAGTAGCAATATTTGATAAATCTGATAGGAAATTTTAGTATTCTCTTTTTCAAACGCGGAACATTTGGGTTTGATAACGAAAATCGGTATATTTTTACCAATAGTCTTTTTAGTAAATATATTCCAGAAATTGAAATTATTATTTCGTAAATTGATAAATTTATATGAAAATTTGGAAAGATTATTTCGAAATTTGTTAAAACTATACTAAAAATTCGAAGTGGTTCAGTCTTGACAGATGACAACAGAAACACCAACAGATTCTACGCCAAAGTTTTATCTCTTTCTCATCTCGAGGATAGACGAGGATATGAACTTTTAAATGTACACACACGCTTACACCGCATTATTTTACATCGATTGGCTTATTTTTATTCCTAACCTATACTAACGATAATACGTGTACGTATAACATTCGCAGGATAACGCTTCATATACAAATTTACGCTCATGTGAAAAACTGATGTGACCATTCTTATATACTAACCAGACATATTTTTCACCGCTTATGAGAAAGGTGAAATTATATCAAAACATGTTTAAAAATATAAATAAAAATCATTATTTATTGGGAAATAATTAAATATTTTATTATTTTTTGAAGAACAATTTTTTTTACTGATTTATTGTAAAATATTCGAAATTAATTATATAAAAGAAATTCAGGTCTGTATCAAGATAATAGTAAAAAGGGGCTTGTCTAAAGAGCTTCGTCAGTCTTCGTTACCACTCGGTGAGGATCGGGCAATTCCGAACGTTCAACTTCGGCAAATTTCGTCGAATCTCGTTAACTTTGATATTTCTTTTTCAATTTTCATATCAAATATATCAAAATCTGAAATAATTATATCATTTTATACAATTCTAATTACGAAATTTGAAATATTTGGTTAGAATTGATAAAGAGCTTATTAAAATTTGACATTTTTGTGTTTCAATAAAAAGATTTCAGATTTCGTAAATATTATATCAAATTTTCTTTCCAACTATATTAAATATTCTTATTTTAATCTCAATCATTCTTAAAAATAGTATCGAAAATCGTTATCATGCCAAAATGTTCCGCAATTGTAACCAAATATACTAAAAAGTAACACCATAATATCAAATATTGCTACAAACTTTCTTTCCGTGTAGAATAAAACGAAGTAAAAAGATTTGGTGTGATTATATTTTATTTTATAGTAAAAAAAAATCCTGAAATAAGCTCCCAAAAAGGCATCGAAACACCAGACTACCCCCTTAAGACGTCTTTTGGACATCCCTTTCAATGTCTTTTAAACATTTTTCGGACATCTTTTGGACCAGACATAGAACCTTTTATGGACGTTTTTTAGTTATTTTTATGATGTCTCCGAGAATTTACTATCATTGTCCGCGGACAAGATGCGACGTCTTTTACACGTTTTTAAGACGTCCCTTTGCCCACTGGGTTGTGTTATTAAAAAAAATAATTTTCTTCTTTTAAATTTTATTTATTTAAAAAATGGATTCTGCTGTTGTGTTACGATTAAAAAACGGCTAATTTTCATGATGAGAAATTTTGGGAGTGTATTGACTTGACGGTATTTAAGGGTTGCCTTGCTAAATTGCTGTCAAGTTGGCAAGGCACCTTTAAAAAAAAAAGTAAACGATTAAATTTTTTCTTGCACAATTAATTAGCGACTAATTAAAGGCTAATTTTAACTTGATATACGCGTGATCACGGTTCAAGGGTTTTTATAAAAAGGTAAAGGGCCCTAAATTTCTGTATGTGGCATTAAATTAGCCCTAAATGGGCCCTAAATTGTGGCATAATAAAACCATTTTTATGAAAGTGGTATTTCCAGGTTTACCTACCTCGAATGTAGAAATCTTTTAAGAGCTAGAACGTTTAAATCCATCAAAGCAATTTTTGCTTAGGGCTCTGTTCGTGTTGACGTGGAATGTCCTTTATTTATTTTATTTTATATTTTCATATTAATTTAAATATTATACTATACAAGGTTTGTTGATGATATATCCACAAGTTCTATTCAACTGCGTATTTTTTAATATTTGGACTCTGTATACTTGATTTTGGTATTAAAAAAAAAAAAAATACAAAATAGAATAGTGTGAGGGTTTAATAATTAAAACACAAAATATTTGCACGTATAAATTTTGGATATTGTTATACAACACGTTGAGTCTTAGGTACAGTGATACGTAGACGTTAACAGTCTGATCGTGTATATTATGAAAAACAGTCGTTACAAAATGAATAAATAAATTTATTGCTGTACAACGACTTGATTTAATTTTCGAGCATTTAAAGCTCTAGCACCCTTTCCATTCAATCCACACTTTATTTCATGTTGTCATTCATTATGTTATTTATAATAAATAAATATACAATTTTTTTTTTACACAAATAATTTACATACAATAAACAATTTTTTTTAGAAAACAATTTCTTGTTTTGTGAAAATTTATAATTTTAATTTGAACCAAAAAGGAGCAATTTATATATTATAGTAAAAAGTAGAATAATTTTTAAATCAATGATGAACATAAAACATTGTATAATTTTTTTTTTTATAACAGAAATATATAATATATATATTTATAGTTACTCAATCGTTACAAATTAAGAAAATTACTTAGGCTGTGATTTGACTCTTTTTCAATCAATTTTCGTTACAACGATAAAATATTGTCATGTATGAATAATAATTGTTTATCGTGAAATATTCGTGAATATTTTGTAATTTTTCTTTTCTGATCGCTTGTATTGTTGGTGTTTGGACGAATATAATGAAATGTAATACAGTATGATGTAATATATATGTATATATATTCCGCAGTTAACGTAAGATTTTGTGCATTTTAGAAAAAAAATGTCTGATCCTTTGGCTATATATTATATTTGAAAAGTTTTTTTAATTTCCATCGAAGGCAAAATGTTTTTGTTTCGAAACTAAATATTTATTTATTTCAAATAAATTTTATTTGATTTAAATAAATTTTATTAGGTATAAACAAATTTTATTTGATTCAAATAATTGGTAATAATAAATTAAAGGCAGACATTTTTTTTTTCATTTGCATAACAAATTCTTCTGATAAAAATGGAATTATTTTCTGTGCGCGTCTATTTTGCGACGCATCGCAGTACCATTTATATTCAAAATAATAACTTTGTACTTATGATTATTTTCTTTTCTACGATGTACATTTACATTTATTCTAATTTTCTAATACTACAGTGTATAAACAGAGGAATCGCTCGCCTATTTTTTTTTTTATTAATTTTTTTTTTTGCTTTTTTTGCACAAAAACTTGCGCAGTATCGCAGTCTTTGTGATACATTATTATTATTATTATTAACAAATTTTCATAAAACCGGTCATGTATCAGAGGCGGATTCTTATACATTTTTGGTTCTTCATATAAGAGCAAAAGCATATATATATATTTAACTTAAAAGCACCAAATTGGAATAAAAAAAAACAAATAATCTAATTAACAGTGCATAATAAGGCTCATGCTTTTAAATTACTTTAAAAATTAAAAAAAAATCCAATTATTGTATCACATTTTTGTATATTTAATATTTTATTTACTAATTCAATTTTTGTGCTAATTAAGATATTTGAAATTTATTAATTTTTTTTTAACATCATTTTTATGGAAAATTTTTTCCATAAAAAGAAATTACATAATTACAATTTTTTGAATTAAAACTAAAAATCAACTTATTTTAATTAACATCAATAGTTATAAATAAAACAAAAAAAAAAAATTTAACTTTTTTCCTTCATTGAATGTTGGATTACAATTTTCTTTTTTTTTTGGGTTTACAAAATAGATATTTTTGCTAATTGCTAAATATGAAAACGTCAAAATGGAATTAAATCTACCGTGCAATTATAAAAGGTGCGCCAGGACAACTTCATTGGACGCATATACATACATTCTTTTTCTTTCTCTCTCTCTATTTTTTCTCACCTTAATATGTATTCTTTTCTCATTTTTCTTTCTTCTTTTTTTTTTCTTGAAAGATTTTTATTACTATGATAATGAAAAATTTTATCACTTTCAAAAATAGTTTTAAACTTTCTATAAATAAAAATTACACACCCCTTAGTCATCGGTTTTTTTTAAAACTTATATATTTTAATTTTATAATACTGTCTTTTTTTTTTTTTGTTCTTAAAATTTCATTTATTTTTAAGTAAAGAAAAGAAATTTTTTTTTTAAATAATTTTATAACCTTGTATTTTAATTATTATTAATTAATCATTGTAATAATTAATAAGAATTTTAATTAATTAACGAAGCAATTAATCAAAAATAAACAATATGTGAATTGAAAAGAAAATCTTGATATTTATCACAATTGAAAAAAAATTTTTTTTTTATTTTTACTTCAACGTCAGATTGAGATAAATCGTTGTTATAATAGTAATTTTTTTTGTTTGTTTTTTTTTTTTTTTGAAAATTTCTTTTTCTTTCCCTTGGACCCAATTGAATGCCAGTCCCGTGTCGACTTTCAACGTGCCGCACCTTCTTTCTTTACACAATAATTGCTGCAATTTTTCAACTACAAATTATGTATTTATATTCTAAGACGAATTTCTTCGTTGAACTACATTTTTTTTTTTTTTTTTTGATTTTTTTGTGTTGCGGGGGCGAGGGTAACAACATTAACGCCAACGTGTAATTTATCTAAAAATCGACATTGTTTTTTTTCTTTTCTTTTTTTTTTTTTAATGCGACTCTAAAGCACTAAATGAACGAATGATTAAACCGAAATCATTTACTTTCATCGCACCTTAACTTGATACTTTGAAAATAAGGCACAACAATTCGACTCAGTATATTGTTAGAGTGAAGTTTCTTTTTCTTCTTTTTTTTACAAGAACAACAAATATTTATCATGTTCTTACATTTTTATTAATAATATCATTTTTGAGATATTAATATTATTCTCATGAAAAATCGGAATTTTTATTTTGCAGTTTGCACATACTCTCAAATAATGATAATAATAATAATAATAATAATAATAATAATAATAAAAATAATAATAATAATAATAATAATAATAATAATAATAATATTTAACAGAATGTGTTTTTGTAAGTACGGATAAAAAAATTTACTAAAAAAAATTTCAATTAGATTTTTTTTATAAATTAGTTAATTAATAAATAATTAATCAATAAAATGAATTAAAACTGACATTTCATGAGAATAAATATTAGCAACATATTCTGAATTCCAGTTTAATTAAATTTGATCTAGTGGATATGAAATTGTGCCACAGTGAAACAAAATTTTCTTTTTATATTGAGAAAAAGAATAAATTTAAAAAAATTCTTAATTTCATTTGTCTCAAAAAAGAAATAATTTCAGTTTCAGATAAATAATTTACGACACGTATTTTTATAGACTTTGTCAAAAATTTCTAATACTTTTCATTTTTTGTTGCAAATTATCATCAACTACTTATACAAAATGACTTTATTATATCAAAAAAAAAGTTTTCTCCTTTAAAAATGAATTTCTCAACCCCCAAAAAATGTTTTCAAAAATTGAAGAGAAATTTTGAATTTTATTTATTCAATTAAAATTAAGTATAATATTACGATAATTAATTAAATAAGAATTTTTTATTATATAATAATTAATTATATTATATTATATAATAATATAATATGTAAATTAATAATAATGATATATAATTAAAATGTTAATTTGCAAGTCCTTTTTTCTTTATTTTTTTTCTTAACAATCACTTTGAGACGAATCTGTATCCTTAGTATTTAAGTCTTATTTTCTAACTTCATTTAATGAGCACAAATGATATTTGATCATTTCAATGAAGCATTGAGTATAATTATTTTTTTTTCACGATAAATTTGATATAAGTATGCATTTCCTATTGAAATTGACTGGTGAAGATCTGATGATTTTTTTTTTTTTTTTTTTTTTTTTTTTTTTTTTTGCAAAGCAAGGATTAAAGCTTTTTTTCATACACATAGGAATTAGATAAAAAGAAGAATTTTGGGAAGATTCATTTTTTTTAATATTTTTAATAATGAAAAAGTATTTTATTTTCTTTTAGGAAAAAAAAATTACGTTCAGCCAAAAAAAAAAAAAAACAAAATTATTAATTTTCTATAATTTTTAATAATAAATTAAAAATTTTTTTTGATTTAATGAACACTTTATAAAAAAAAATTGATGATTTTCTAGATGTAATTCACATTATTTTACATTACTATAATGTAGTTAACATTCAAAATTTACTCTAAATCTGAATTTCAAAAGAGAATTTAAAAATTTTTCTTTTTTTTATTTTTTCCTCTTTAAAAGATTTCTTTTTCTTTAATAATTTTAAAAAATCTGCCCAATGCCTCAATACATTTAATTTTAACTATATATATATACTAAATTCATTACAAACTTTATAGTAACTGATGTAAAAAAAAGTGTCTAGTAATATTTATATTGTCAGTATTTTTTTTTTTTTTTTTTTTTTACAGTAAATTATTATTTTTTAACAAATACGTTTAAATGAAGAATGCACTTTTTAGGTTTTAAATTATCGCAAACAGATAAATATACGGCGAATTTATTGTCATTCGTCAGTGTTCCATCAAATTTATTTTTATATTTAATCATCATTATCAGCATTTGTTAGTAAATTTTTATGATTTCTATTACAACATCTATTAATATTTTAGCAAACATAGTGAAAGTCAATACTGTTTTACATTGTAATATCAGTCATTTTATTAATATTTTTTTTTCATTATTGTTTTTGTTTGTCCAATCATTGTTTAATTTTAATTACGCATTTATTAGACAAGTTTTTTTTTAATAATAAATAATTAAATTGCGTATTTTAACCGCACTTATTTTTCGTTAATCAGCATAAAATATTATTTAAAATTTTATAAAAATAAATTTAGAACTTTTTTTTCATATTTTTAGCAGCAAACAATTATTTAATTTACATAAACAATTTTTAATATCAGTATAATTAAAAAACAATTTAGATCGTTCAACAAAGAAAAATAATTGTAAAATAAAAAAAAAAATTTGAATTATTGAAATTTAAAAGAAATTATTTCCCAAATTAAATTCATTTTTATCTAGTTCTTATATGTATGCCTTCTTTTTCATAAGAAGGCCGCCTTAATACAATTGCATTATGAATCGGTCACGATTTTCATTTTTTTTTTATTTTATTATTATTTTTTTTTTTTAATCGGGACATTGGAGTTGACATTTATTTGATATTGTTTATAATATGGACTCTATAGAGACTCAATTGTGAGTCACATTTTTCAAAGAGTCGATCCCCTGTGTTGTCCTAAAAACGCATTAACAATCAATGAACAGTGTTTTTCTATATTAGTAATTTACTTTTCTCTTTTATTGAAAAAGAGAGAGAGACAAGTTTCATTTTTTTTTTTTTTTTTTTTTGTCAGTATTTAGCAGTACCGATTATTCTCGAATCTATTTACGACAGCCGTCAAACAGATTCTTCGGTTACAGATTTTGGCAACACCATCTTATTGCTGAAAAATAAAAAAAAAAAATTCTGAAATTTTACAAATGTCATAGAAAATTTATAATTTTTCAAATTATATTTATTTGCACAAAATGTAATTCGAAATTTCAATGAAAAACACTAATATATTTAAACTAGTAATATATAGTTACATATATTCTAGTTTAAAACTCATCTGTTTGGTCGATAAAATCAATTGCGTGTAATTTACCATCAGTGAACAATGATTTTTTTCGTGTTACAAAAAAAATATTAAATGTTTGCGAGAGATTTAGATTTCTTTTATTATTAGCCGGTTATGTAGATTTCTGTAAAGAATACTTATCATCAGTTGGTAATACAAATTTCTGTAATGGCCAATTATCATGAGTCGATAATGTAGATTCCTGATAAGAGAAAATTTCAATAAGTGAGTTCCCAGTTTTACCGATATTACGTTATGAAGCAATTTATCAGATAAGTTAAAAAAATGTATCGATAAAGCAGGAATCAACCTTGTTGACAAAATACAGTCTGTCAGGAATATTCTATATCGGTAATTAATAATTTGTCATCACAAAAACTTGTGTTATCGACGTTAGCTCACTCAAATTTACCGATTGAGCTAACAAATAGTATGTTTTTCAGTTTATTATTTTCTGTCGGTAAGTAACCTGCGTTTGATATAACAGACCAAAGTAATGAGCATCAGAACATATATAAACATACTTAAAAAGTTAAAATTGATATTCCAAGCCTATATGAAGATAAAAGAGAACCCAGTGAACACAAGACGTTCTATGTTCCAATTACGTTCTTATAATGCTTTTAGAAAGTTAATGTCTGCCCAAAGTTCTAAAAATGTTTCATATTCTACATACGTTTTCGGAACATGAAACGTCCTTAGAATGTTATTTTAACAGATATTTACGTTCTAAAAACAATTTAGGAACGTCATTGCAACACTTATTCATGAAAGAATAAGAAAGTAAAAATTTCCAAAAGAGAACTACAATTTGAATTTTACTTTTAATTATTTAATAAATGACTTAAAAAAAGTGGAGTATATATGTATATTTTTTGGTTTATGTCTTAACACTATTGGCATATTTATATTAATGAATGAATGAATGATGATAATAGAGGCGTGTATGCAATACATGAAGCAAAAACAAGCATGATGGCTTGACTTAATATGATATAATTTGAGTCTAGCCCTACCAACAAGATATTTTACTTGGCGACGCCGGATATCCTAGAGTCGTCTTGCATTTCAACCACAATTGTGTCTGGATCTGGTACCCTATTAGCTGAGATGCATCCATTGGCAATAGTTGTTGGCAGAATAGTCTCAGACTAAAATGAACAAATAACCAATGTAGAATAACAAAATATATCTAAAAAATATTCATTTAGATTTGTTATTTTAAATATAAATTCACATCTATGTAAACAAAAAAGTATACATACTTGATATGCTGCGGCGTCCAAAGCCATTAATTCTTTTTTCGATAAATGTTCTACAACGGCAGCTGCGTAACAGTCTCCTAGCATGTTATTTGTAGTCCTCACTCGATCTCTACAATTAATTTGAAAAATTAATTTAAAAAATTAATTAAAAGATATTAAAAGTCTGAATAAATGTAAGAAAAACTTATTCTTATTCTTTGAGGATAAACTTAATCTGTTTGAAAGAAGAATATTGATAGAGAAAGATTTTTTGGGTATACAATGAAATGATACACATAATAATCCATTTATTCTTGAGAATCTGGATTTGTAGCTGCACTGTTATAAAAATGAAAACAAAGAAGAGTAGTTTTCTACAAGTATATATACGGAAGAAATGATGCAAAAGAATTTCCAGTTCAGATGCGACAGCTGAAAGTAAAGGAACGACGAAAACATTTTTTCTGATTAATAGAGAATAATGTTATCACGAAACAAAATCAAGCATGTGCTCTTGAATACTAGAAGGAACAACAGCATTTTATAAATCTATATGACCCAATTAAATATATATTAGTTGATAAAGGTATTAACTGAAGACCTAAGTAATGGAAGTATGAATTGTCTAAATTGCTTCTTATGCAAGGCAGAGTTTGACATCGTAGGTAAGGTGCACGATATTGGAGTCCTCCTGATGTCAATAGCGACTGCTATGACGCGTAAACAATCTCTTAAAAAGGTTGCCACAAATAATCAAGAAAGTTGAACAGCAATAAATAACAGTGAATCCTAAATCCTTTGGTATTATTAAACTCGAGCAGGAAATCAGTGACCACGTGGAGGATAAATAAATTAATCCACGCCTCAAAGTGTCACTACACCTCCAAAAGATATTAGTACCCTCATTTTATTGTCATTTTTCAAAACTCGATTATCATGTAAATTCGCCGACACCAACCGAAGCTATAGTATCTGAAATTATCAGGACAGCAATATATCGTTTCAAGAACTAGGTAATCTGTTTTCTCTTAAGAAATTAGATGTAGAAGGTAAATTGCCTGTGCACCTGTTAATCACCTTAAATCTGTAAATTATGAACCTTGTGTCAATATAGTAATCAATAGTAATTAGTTTATTTCATCCTGTTTGCCTAAGTACATTATTTCTGCTTCAACAGTTTCTGTAATTACAATCGGAATTTCTTGTATCCGTAGGTGCAAATAAGGAAATATTTTCTGAATCAAATTAGGTTACTTATTGACATTCTGATTTCAAATAGGGATAATTTTTTTTAAACTTAATTCAAAACGAGGAAACAGCTGATTGGATACTGTCACGAGGCACTCAACAGATTAGGTGGACTCCCTTTTGGAGTCCATGCCACAGTGGATTCAAGGATAATGATGTAGCAAATATATTAGCCAAAGCAGAAGCTAAGGAACAGTTTATTGGTCCTAAAGATGATTCTGGTAAATGTTTGGCTTAGGAATTTAAACAATGGCTGATATCAGAACACTAGAAGGAGTGGCGGATAACAGCGAACCGTAGACTTTTGGGGATTAATATTAACATTAAGACAGTAGCGGAAATCCATTAACTTGATAGTAAAGAGGCAAAAATCATAACAGGATTGTTAACAGGTTACGAAGATTTACGCTATCAGAAACAACTGCCTCGCATTTGTGAGGGTTATAAGCTAATTCTTCTTCGAAGAAGCAGTGCCTGAATCGGATGAAATGCCTGGGTCCATGAAGAACTATACTAAAGCAATATCTACTTTTCAGCGAAACCACTACAGGACATTCAGAAACGACAATGATTTGGCAATCCTTGAAAAAGCAATGTTATACCTTAAAAGGTAGGGGCATGTCCCACAAGATAGAAGATGTCTAAAGTGCAAGAAGATTGTGCCGAATGAAATGGAGAAGCAGTTAGTTACAATCGTATTCGTCCCGATAATACCCCAATAGGAGTGGGAATGAGTTAGCAGGAACAAGCCTTGTGTACTTCCAACGGGGACCACGTGGAGTTTCTGCTTCCAGATCAAAGTCTCACGTGCTTACGTACTTAGCCAGAAGGGTACGATCCTCTGTACCATTTTTAGTTACCTTTTACGATCTATCAGTAACGGTAATTAGTAACACACTGAAAAAGTCTTGGGCGATCAGCAGTTCCAACAGTGGAAGTGCAATAGCTTTGGAGTGTCTGGAGCATGATTTTGAGCGATGTTCCACGTTATTGTTACCAAGATTTGGTAATACTGCAGCATCAGACTGGGGCACTCAGAGCACCCAAGTTGGAAAACAATCAGCCCCAGTATGAAGTTACGCAGAACCTCTTTACTTGCTGCTTCTTGTTCATGCGTTGGAAAATCTGAACGCCCAAGACTTTTTCAGTGTAGCAGAGAGTTAAATAAAAATAATTGTATTGAATTTTTTTTACTTACACAAACCAATCAATGGCAAAGAGGAGAGAAACGTCTTGTACTGGTGCATCAATGGCACTGAGGACAACTAGAAGTAATACCAATGCTGCGCTTGGTACAGAAGCAGAAGATACCGATGCTGCAGTGGAGGTTAAGCTATAAGTAAACATAAATAATTAGCTATAAATTTATTAAATTTAAAAAAAAATAGAAAGTAAGAGAATAATAAATACTAACATGACAGTGATAATTTCACCAAATCCAAGAAAAATGCCATTCATCTGAGCAATAAAGATGCTTGCAACAGCCACAAACATGGCAGTACCATCCATGTTAATATTGCATCCAATCGGCAGAACAAATCTTGTGACCCTTGGGTCAACCCTCAATTTATCGGTCATCAGTCGAAACGTCACAGGAAGTGCGGCAGCCCTGTGCAAACCTCGATTAGAAAAAATCACGAAAAATCCCTTTCGTTAAATTTAAAAAGGATGAGGCTGCCTCGTATGCGCTGCTCACATGTTCCGGTCATTCTGGCCATAATTATATATGTACTATTTATTATAATGTTTACGAATTTCTTTTTTAATCTTCTATCATGAATATATTACAATTGAAACAAAATTTTTTTCAATTAAAAATTTTTTGCATATTGTGATTCAGAAAAATTTTTTACAATAGGTGCAAGTGAAAACAAAGCCAAATTGTGTATCAAAGATATAAAATGAGAATTTTTTCTATTAGCCAGAATGACCAATTGGAAGTGACTGAAATTAAATTGTTTAAAAATTAATCGTGGTGGTTGGGCGGACGTCATCAATAATAAAAAAAAAATAAGTCAAGTGTCGAATTCTGAAACAGAAAATTTCACATCTTCGTTTGCGGCCATCGTTACTTACCAGGACCCCTAAAGAGAATGGACCACCTGCAAAAGGCCGCGTGCCGCGCGTTCTAATACATCATCATGATATCAAACAGTGAGACAACACTGTTGAGACAAACACAGTCTCTCAGGCACAGTATAACAGTTTTTTCTTTCTGGAAAAAGTTAATCCACACACAAGAAATTTTTGAATTAAATGTACCTCGCTTGCTGTGGTTATAATAAACTCTTCGCGACTCAAAGTTTATTGATGGAATTAGAAAGATATATGAATCCTCCGATCAAAATTTCAGAAAAAATCTTTTTTTTTTTTTTGAACAAATATTTGGTATTAAAATTAATTTTTGATCTTTGAAATTAATTATTTGGAGTTTTTTTTATCATCAATGAAAGTGGTTACAGAATTTTCTGTGATAAAATAGTTTAAGTAATGGAAAAAAATTTGGCTTATTTGGACAAAACCTGTGGACAGAAGACGTATTTTTTTTAATGACTTTTGACATAACCTTCAGAACTATTCACAGAAGTTAAGAATCGATAATTTTTTATCAATAAGCAAAATCTAGAATATAATTGTACGCTCTGCAGGAGTTTCCTTCTCTCCTCGGAACGTTCTCCCCACTCTTCGCGATCTAGGATTGGCGGAGCTCGCTCAAGAAGGTGACCTCCCTTACTTTTTTCTTGGAAGTCTCCCCACTCTTAGCTATCGGGGTTTGAAGCGAGTATAAAAAAGAGCAGCGCTAGTTATAAAAAACCAATTCTGTTGCGGAGCTCACTCGGGAAGGTCACCTCATCCATCGAGTTAATAATAAAATTATTTTCTGCAATAAAACTAACTATTTTTTCGACCATTTTGATCGAAGGTTGACATTAGTAAGATGAAAAATTTTTTTTTTCTTTATAAATTTGCTTACGGGAATAAAAGGATAGGATCAGACCTACGAAATTGCGCGTTTCTATTAACATTAATTCTATTTAATATTTTTTTTTTAAATAGGAATTGGAAAGTGGGTTTTAGAGAACTCTTACTTTTTATTTTAATCACTCTTAAACCGGGAAAATAATCGTTCATACGCAAATTAGAGAATTATTAAAAAAGATTTGATTAAGATTATTAAATAAACGTTCAGCTCGTTCCATTCTCCCTCTTACTGGACATCCTCCTCATCATCATCATCATCTTAATTCCTGTAAGAATGAAATCGACTGCGAACAAACGATATTTTCCCAGTTCATCAGGTCATATAATTTGAAAGACTTAAGTAAAAGACATTTTTTTTTGTCTGGAAGCCTCTTCCTGCCACCTGTCAAAAGTGGCAGCAGGATGACGATAGGTGAACCTTCTAGGCTTCCACGCTTTTCAGTCCAGCTAACACGGAGTCAGTCGACTCGCGATGTTACTTTACCAAGTCTTCATTGATAGAATTTTTGGTTTCGTAACTCGCCTCAGTCATGTAATATGTCTTCTATAATATAAATATATATGCTAGTTTCATGATTCACTATTCTCCACTTTTTTTTTTTATTAAGAAAAAAAGTTAATTAAATTATTCGATTGCGTTATTTAACAATGACATTTATTTGTTACGTAGAACTGAACTCTTTATGTCAGATCATATTCCATTTACTTTTATAAATTTGTTTTTTATTCAATTTTGTTGTGTAACAATGACATTTATCTATTTCTTTTTATTTGAAATTTTTTTCTTTTTATTTTAAATAAATGGACAAATGTAAATTAATTTCTAATGATTGTGATCAGTTACATTAAATTTCTTCAAAATTTCTTAATTACAATTTTTTTCTATTCTCTAAAAAAAATTTTTTTTTTATTCTTTTATTTGAATTTTTTGTTAATTTTTAGTTTGATCCAATTGCTTGTATGCTGCCCATTCGGTTTGACGGTATTTTGAAAAGTCGTTACCAGATTTGCCAATGACCGTTACCAAACGGAACTGCGCTTGCGCTACTACAACTCTCTCATTGGTGAAAAAAGGCGCTCTTATTTAAAATGCTTTAATATAAAAAAATGTTTTGAAAACAATAAAAAAAATTGTAAATGTTCAATTTATTGTTTTTATTTTTAATCATAATGTTTTTTAATAAAAATTAATTTTTATTAATTATTTAGAGATTAATTTTCAGTAGGAATAATTTTTTTTTTATATAATTAAAAAATTTTGAATTTAAATTTATAAATAATTATAATAATAAATAAACACATACTTGCTTTTATAAAACTTTTAAAATTATTTGCACATAAAAATTATTTTAAAAATAAAAAATTATTAATTTTTATTAAAAAAACATTATGATTAAAAATAAAAACAATAAATTGAACAATTTTTGTTGTTTTCTAAATATTTTCTTATATTAAAGCATTTTAAATAAGAGCGCCTTTTTCTACCAATGAGGGAATTGTGATAGCGCAAGCGCAGTTGCGTTTAGTGGTAGTCATTGGCAACTCTGGTCGTGACAATTCTATAATAATTTTATTAGTTCATGGCGTATGGTGTAAAGCACAATAGTAAGTAATGCATGAGATAGAAAACGATACAAGTATATATCTATCCTTTCCCATCTCATGTATTACGTTCGCAAACTATTGTGCTTAAAGGCCTGAGCAGAAAAGAAACGTAACCGGAATCGTAATCGCAAACGCAACCATAAGAATGAGTTAGAAAAGGATAGATATATTGTTTATCCTTTTCTAACTCATTATTCCGGTTACGTTTCTATTCTGCTTTGGCCTTTAAATCATACGCCATGAACTAATAAAATTATTATAGAAGTGGTACGACTTTTCAAAATGTCGTCAAACCGAAAGGACTCAGCGTTCAGAGTAAATAGAAAAAAAGAAACAATCGAAATATTTATATTTCAAAAAAAAAATTTTTAATTGTTGAATTAAATTTTCATTTAACTTTTTTTTTATTGAAAAACAAAAAGATTCGAGTTCTTTGAGAAGACCTTTACATTACTGATTTAATATTCGTTTTAATTTCCATATATGAAATGGAATCGAATATTGAGACGACATCCTAAGTGCCAGCCGGGCTGCATACCTCTCTCGTGTTCTCTGGGAGATGGCAAACTCCCATGGTGAGCAATGCGAATGCCTGGGAGGGGTTTTTCATTAGTGATATTAGACAGGATTGGACAATTTTTCACAAACGTTCATCGAAAAAAAAAATTGAATTTTACAAAATTTCAGAAAAATTCATTATTTTTTTGCTACCAAAAATACACTGTGAAAAAAAGTCATCTCGAAAATTGGAATGGATTTAAGGATCGCCATGGCCTCGCAAAGCCTCCTCTTGGCTGGCTGAAACATACTCTCTCTCATCAATCATCTCTTATATATGGGCACACTTCAGCGTGTACTTTGAGAGGACCAAGCAAATTAAAAATTTTTTACAAACAAAATTAATAATTACCAATAAAAAAAAAAAACTACTAAAATTTTACATATTTTTTGAAAAGAAGAAAAAGGAATTGAAAAAAAATTCCAGAAATTATTTAAAAAAAGTTTAATATTAGTAACTAAAAATTAAGAAAAAAAGGAGATTGAGGTTAGAAAAATGATAGAAGGATAAAATTAAATTAGACAAGAATAGTTATAATGATAAATTAAGTGGAATGTAAAAGAAAAGGGATATGTTAAAATAGGTTTTTTTTTGTCAGTGAAAATGGAAGATAGAAATCGAGGCCCTGAGAGGTTTCGGCGTGATGGTTTCTCAAAAGGCAGGATGGGAACCGAAGGTCGGCGACTCACGTTGATGCCATGGCGAAAGCGGTGAGTGTACCCTGCGCGAGGCCTGTGTAGAATTTAAAAGGATTCTTCCTCACGATAGCCAAATAGATCAACTGCATGAACACCAATTGATATAAGAAAACTCCAATCACAATCGTCACAATGAACCAAGCCAATTGAGACATCACTAGACTCAAGTCATTAACGCCTAAAATCTTGCCAGCAATCACAGAAGTTATTCCAATCGGAGTCATCCTGAAAGTAAGCAAAAATTTCATTATACTTTAATATATACCCAGTAAAAAAAAAAGAATTAGGAGTAAGCGAAAAGAATTGGTGGTAACTTAAGCTCAATGCGGTTTGGCGAAAAAACCGAATTGGAACGTTACGGTGAATTATTTTTTCTTACCGTCAATTCTTTTCTCTTAAACATTTGAATTGACGTTTGTTTATTCGAGTTTGCATTATAAATGAATAAGAATAAATGTTTCGAAGTCTAAAAAGCCGATTTGGAATAAGAAATATATAATTTTTAAAAAGCAATAAAAGTGAAATGTGATAGATTTACCGACAATTTTACCATGTGAGTACTAATCATATGGTAAATTTATCATATGAACACTACTCACTTGATAAAATCGTCGGTGAATCTGTCACACTTCGCTTTCATTTATTTTTTTTAAATTATATATTTCTTATTCCAAATCGGCTTTTTAGACTTCGAAACATTTATTCTTATTCATTTATAATGCAAACTCGAATAAACAAACGTCAATTCAAATGTTTAAGAGAAAAGAATTGACGGTAAGAAAAAATAATTCACCGTAACGTTCCAATTCGGTTTTTTCGCCAAACCGCATTGAGCTTAAGTTACCACCAATTCTTTTCGCTTACTCCTAATTCTTTTTTTTTTACTGGGTATACAGATTATTATAAAATTCTCAAATCCAAAAGATTGTGTGAATCCATACAAAAACGAGATTGTAAAACGAAAAAAAAGGAAAGTAATATAATAACAGCTGCGACTTCGTACTCCCTGCATGCTTCTGCCATCTGACGGCAGCAGGACGTAATGAACCTGTCATTATATTACTTTTCTACTATTTGTTTTGCAATCTCGTTTTTGTATGAATTCGCACAATCTTTCGGATTTAAGAAATTTATAAGATAAGGATCTATTTGGTATTTTTGCCGATTTTGAAAAAAGTGTCCGCGTTTCGAGAAAAAAGTATTTTAAAATCAATATTTATCTTTTTCACTATCAGGGCCGTTTTTATAGGGCGATAATTAAATACCAAAGAATTTCAGAGACCATTCGACATTCTTAAAAACCATTCTTTGAGGTTATTTTACGATCATCAACCTCCTTAAATTAATAATTCAAATTAAAAGTCAATAACCAAACATAATATATTTATGGACCAGAAATAATACAACCTACTCTTTTTACAAAACCTTCTTTATCTAAAACTTTGGTAAACGTAAACACCACTGATCTTTCTATATAATTGAATGGGCGATTCATGTAGAAAAGTCGTTTCCCGTGAGCTTCAGATTGAAACACTGGTCGCCATATTGTTCTTTCCCTGTTGTATAGAGATGTTTAACGTGACGTCACTCCGGTCGGTAAAGTCACAAAAATTAGACCCTGTAAAAAAAGTTGGATAGCGAGAATCGGGAAAACGTATCGAAGCTCGGTATGTTGAATCCGTTATTTGAATTTTAACATATTCGAGTGTTAGGTCGAATCCGTTGTGTGTATTTAGTCCAATACGTTCGATTGAAAATAGCGTTAAAACGAATGAAAAAACGTTTTAATTGGGATAAAAGTGACCTTTTATTAATAAAAAGGTTAAATAAATTGTGGAGAGACCAGAATTAAGGAGAAAAATGGAACTTTCAATTAAAAATAATAGAATTAGGTTATTTAGTAAATGTGTTACCATTGAAGAGAGCTATTCGTCGGGTAAGTATGCTACTCATTTTACCGACAATGGTAAAAAATTATTACAACTGATTTAGTTTTTAGTTAATAAAAGGTATAAAAAGAAAATTAATTTAAGGCCTTATACTTTTTTTAATATATTTATTTAACATATACATGGGCAATGTAAAAAAGTTGTGGTTATTTTTATTATTAATCAATTAATATTCGTGAATAAATAATTTTGTCTTACATTTAAAATGAGGATTTAGTTTATTTATTCTCATTTCTTTTCATTTATTATAGCATTTATTATTAACCTTTAGAGGGCCGGCATTTTTTAATTGAAAATCACCATGTTATAAATTGAAAATTTGACTACTTATGAAGTCAATATAAGGTAGAAAAAACCTGACACCGGAACTGGCCACTATAGTGGCCACCCCGGCCCTCTGGAGGTTAATTAATTTTCTTGTTTTGTCTCTTTATTAATCACTATTTACATTAACTGCTATTAATTAATTTATAGAAAAAAGTAATTATTCTATTCAGTTCTATACCGACAATAGAAATTTAAATTCAATAACTTTCCATTGTCGGTAAAAACAGTAGCATACTTACCCGACGAATAGCTCTCTTCAATGGTAACACATTTACTAAATAACCTAATTCTATTATTTTTAATTGAAAGTTCCATTTTTCTCTTAATTCTGGTCTCTCCACAATTTATTTAACCTTTTTATTAATAAAAGGTCACTTTTATCCCAATTAAAACGTTTTTTCATTCGTTTTAACGCTATTTTCAATCGAACGTATTTTACTAACTACACACAACGGATTCGACCTAACACTCCAATATGTTAAAATTCAAATAACGGATTCAACATACCAAGCTTCAATACGTTTTCCCGATTCTCGCTATCCAACTTTTTTTACAGGAGAGCTATTACCTCCGTGGCCTCAAGTTTCCATGGGCTTTTATGGGAAATTTCAGAAATTAATTATTCTCTCTGAAATTAGAAAATAATCCATTATAACTTTTTTTGTTTCGAATAAAGTAGTAATTTATGCAATTCGTAATTGCTTATAATTATATCATCAATGTCTCAAAGATTAAAAAATAACAAAAAATCAGTCGTAGCAGACGAAATTCTCTTCAGATAGTTCTGATTTTTTATTATTCTTTAATAGTTGAACTATTGATGACATAATTATTATACGCAAATAAGTATTGCATAAATTACTACTTTATTTGAAATAAAAATTTGTATAATGAATTATTTTTTAATTTCAGAGAATTCTGAAATCTCCCATACAAGCCAATGGAAATTCGGAGCCACGATGGTAATCGCTCTACTTTCTGTGACTTTACCGACGGAGGTGACGTCACGTTAGACATCTCTATAGTAGTTTACATTTGTTTGACAAGTGATTTGGAGATTTTTCGAGAATTTTTATTAATATTTATATCATTGAAATTAACATTTAAGTGAAAATGGTTAATATAATAATAATATAAATTTATGCATATTTATATTTTGTAATATCCTTCATCATATATTTACGAATTAGAAAATTTGACTTTAACTTTTCTATACATTTTTTTAAACTCAGGAAACAAAGCTGAAGTAGGTAACATTTATGATAAACGATTTTTAAAGAAATAATTTTTTCTTTTTTTCTCAGGAACCAGTAATAAAAAATTTTAATTAATAAATTAAACGAAATTTAAATGTTAAACTACTTTATAATTTATATATATATATATATATATATTTATATTAGAAAAATTAAATTAATACATTTAATTAGTTCATTAAAATTAATTATGTAACTAATTACTTTTTAATTTAATATACAGCAACTATGTTTTTTTTATAATAATAATAATAAAAAAATAATATCAATTACGTTAAAATGTTTTCAATTATTGATAATTATTTAATTTGATGGTCAATATATTTCAATCCCATTAAATTATTTGAATTCTTCCGCTACTTTTGAAAAAACGGGAAGGAACAATATGGCGCTTCCTGTCTTCTAATCGAAGTACTGTGAGCGACACAATCGCTCATCCAGTTATATAAAGAGATCAGTGGTAAACACATTCTCAATGAGCTTTATTATAGAATTTTAACTTTTTTAATTATTTTACTTGAATATTTTACAAAAGAATTAGAAAATTTAGTAATTTTTAATAATAAATTTGTGGAATGATTAAGCAAACATATAATTAATTAAAAATTTCTATTCTTACAGTCACGTGACGCGGCACGCGAGGTTAGCGCTCCTCGTGTTCACTATCGGTAATGTTAAATATCATACACAGCAGTGTTACTTCTTCGTCAAATATTTGTGTAAGTGTCAAATGCATTCGTTTAAATATTAAAGAAGTTATTAATGTGTTGGAAACTTGTAATTATTAAGATCATTCTATTTTTGGTGACGTTCAACAATTATCATTTCCAGGATTTTGTAAGTACATAAGAATTTTCAATATACATATTGTTTTCATTAATTGCATTGTCTATATTCTAGAATTGCATTTCTATAAATTGTTTAAAAACTCGTATTTGGAAATATAAATTTTTTTGTGCATGCAGCTGATTAAAAATATTGACAGAATATTTTTTATTCTTTTTTTTTCAAATTACTATTAATTTCGTATAAACTCCTAACCTCAAAGTATCTTTCAATGTTTAACCCGAAATTCGACAGTGCGTACGTATTAATTTTAAAATCTTTTTTGTTTATAAATGGAACGCAAAAATTTATTCTATATATAGGGGAAAATTTCTGAAGTGATCCAACTAAAAAAAAAATTTGTTCTCAGATCGAGATGAAATTTACACATAATATAGCGCTCTATAGGTAAATAGATCATTTATTTATTTTGAAACATAAAGACAACTAATGACTTTGTACAAAAGAACAAAGTAACAATTTTTCTGTTTCCTCTTATTTATTTTAACATAAAGTATAGAAAAAAAAATATTTAAGCCTCCTGGAAAATAGGGCATAATTTAGAGATATTGCCCATTAGGATTAATGTATATGACCAGTAATCGCGATACACTTTTTTTTTGTCGATTTGTATCTTTGTAAGTAAAGCATTGTCATGGGCCAAATGACTATTATTTATGTGACCAGCTTCAGGGACGTTTAAGTATATTGGATAATTTCAATATAAAATTGATAATATAATTTTAACAACAGAGTATGGACTAACTCGTTTATGAATATAACAAAATTTAACGATATATTCGACACAAAACAAGAACTATGATAAACACAAAAAGTAAAATGTGGTTTGGCCGAGACACTACACTAGTCTATTTTCATGTATTTTTTCACGCTGAATCCGAATCCGAAGTCAGAATTATCAAATTGGCTTTTATTTTTGAGATAAACTCAAAAAACTGCTCAGAAAGAAAAATAAAATCAAAAAGTTAAAAAATTTTTGAATGTCACTGCGATAGTGTAATTCCATGTATTTTTTGTCGCTGAATCTAAATCCAAAGTCAGAATTGTTAGATTCGCTCAAATTTTTGAGATAATTGCAAAAAAACGCAAGTAACAAAAAACTCAAAATACTCAAAATCAGTTTTTTGGAATTATCTTTAAAATTTGAGCCAATCTGTCAATTCTGACTTCGAATTCGGATTCAGCGTGAAAAAATACATGAAAATGCACTATCGTAGTGTTTCGGCAGAAAAAAATTTCTTTGATCTAAAATCGCCAAAAACTGATAAAAATTCTGAATTGACAGATTGGCTCAAATTTTGAAGATATAATTCCAAAAAACTGATTTTGAGTATTTTGAGTTTTTTGGCAATTATCTCAAAAATTTGAGCGAATCTAACAATTCTGACTTTTTGATTTTATTTTTCTTTCTGAGCAGTTTTTTGAGTTTATCTCAAAAGTAAAAGCCAATCTGATAATTCTGACCTCGGATTCGGATTCAGCGTGAAAAAATACATGGAAATAGACTAGTGTAGTGTCTCGGCCAAACAGCTTTTTATTTTTTGTGTGCTAAAGACATTAAGATGTTTAATAAGTCTTGATGTCTTGAAAACGCTACCAAAACATCTTAAAATAAGATACTTGTATTTTTGCAATGTATGACTTGTTTAGGTAAAATTTTTCAAAAGTAAAATTGTAAAGAAATTTTCTCTTACCACATGACGGTGGAAACCATCCTCATGATGACCTCGAAAACAGCCTTAAAAAAGTCTATAACAACTTGACCCTTTTCACCTAAAGTGCCAAGGAAAGTTCCAAAGACCAAGCAAAAGAAAACTATCCCTAAAGTATTGGTACCACTTCGATATTGGATAACCCTCATCAATTCCTCATCCGGAGGCCCTTCAGTACTTTCAAGTCGTTCCGAGTAGTTTTGAAAAAATTGTTTCTTTGGAACATATACTGTATGTGCCTGGAAAAAAAAAATTTTTTCTCTTAGTTTTTTATATGTCAACATCAAAAACAGAAAGAAATGGAAATATTTTTATTTGAATTTTTCAAATTCTATATAAAATGATTTTCTTTCTTACCTGTTGAAAGGCTGCTTGAAAGAGATTCTCGGGAAACATATTTCTGAAATGAGGAAATAAAATTTCTAGGAAATATTCCAATTTTTAGAAGAAAAAAAAAAAATGTTTTCAATTCAATGATATTGAAAATAATTTTGAATAATATTATATATTTTATTTTTCGTGTCATCTTTGCATTATATATATATAATATATATTGTTTATTCACATGAATAAGATACTTGCGATCGATGATATTCTATTTTTATTCATTCCTTTAAAGCTAATATTCAATATCATAAATAATTCCGCTTGAAAAATTTGAAAAACGCACTAGATGGAATCTTACTTTTTTTTCGCAGAAAATAAGTTATTTTTATATATATATTTTTTTTTAAAAAGTATGATAATCATTTCACAAAACTGTTTTGTCATTTGGTCCAAAATTGAATTTTTGGAGCAGAACTGATAAATTTACCAACCAATTCATGTGGAAAGTGCCTCTTGGAATTTCCGAACGATCATTCCACGTGATTATTTTGTTTCGTATTAAACAATTCATGTGTAGTACATTGTATTATTTTTTTCAATTTTTTAAAGAAATTTTCTATCAGATATTAAAATTAAATTTGTTTTGTAGTATGAGAAAAAATTCAATTTTTAAATAATAGAAGCAGTTTCATCATGCAAAATTTATTGCGTTGGTTCGTATTTATTTTTTTTTTTTTTTTTTTTTTTTGACGAAGTAAACAAATGTTAGTAAAATCGATTCCAGTTTATTTAGAAAATGATTGAATTTATATAATATTGCTTTCTCTTTAAAAAATAATAATTTATTGAATTTTAAATAATTAATAATAGAATTTTAAAATTTTTATTGCTAAGTTTGAAATTGTTATAACTCAGCTGGCACGTAAGCTTGTAGAAACCTTGCGGCAAGTTTCAAATGTCCCATCAGACCGAAAGCTTGCATGGTAAGCCTACCGAAAGATTGCAGTGTTCGGTTACTGCAAATCGCAAGATTGCTCAGTAAGCTTGCACGGTAAGCTTGTAGTAAGGTTGGTGCAAGGTTGCCAAATAATTTTGCTTTAAATCTAAAAAAATTTTTTAAAAAAATCTTTCGTCTAATTTATATAATAAAATTATATAAATAAGACGAAGAATTAAAAAAAAATTTTTTTTAGGTTCAAATCAAGGTTATTTGGCAACTTTGCACCAACCTTACTACAAGTTTACCGTGCAAGCTTACTGAGCAATCTTGCGATAATCTTATTGTGCAATCTTGCAGTAACTTTACACTGCATTCTTTCGGTATGCTTACCAATTACCATGCAAGCTTTCGGTCAGGTGGGACATTTGAAGCTTGCAGCAAGTTTGCCGTGCAAGGTTGGCAATATTGTGCCGCAAGGTTGCTGCAAGCTTACCTGCTATCTGGGAAGTATTTTTATTATGTTGCAATTTATTTTCATAACTTTTATTTTGGTGAATTAATTACTATCAATAATTAAAAAAAAAAAATGAAAATTATTTTAGAGAAAGAATTGTGTAATAAATTTTAATAAAAAATGATGAGTTACGTAAATTTTTCATTTAGTATACAATGTTCTCTGAACCATAGAAAATCAACCTTCAATTCTTTTTAATTTAATAAACTCATCTTATACAAGTATCTCTCTAATCAATTTCATTTTCATCCAAAAATAACTTTTCCGATTATCTTCTATGCCTCCTGGCTCTAGAGAATATCGTGCCATGAAGGTTAGAACATTATTTAATTATTAGGAAATCTTGAAATTTTGAAATATTAAGAAAAATAAGTTATAATTATAATAAAATTATTTTCCAAATCATAACAATTGTTTTTATCAAAATTTAACTATTATTATCAATTTTTGAAAAATTACCATTGTTAAATATTATTAACACAACTAAATGTAACTTAATAAAAAGTTTTATTTAATATACAAAATTTAAATAATAAATTTTAATGCTAAGCTTTTCTTTTTAAAAATAGTAAATTAAAGAAAAAAAAAACGTAATTTCAAAACATTTTTAATCAAGTTATATAAATAGACTACTTGGCTCTTAATCTATCAGTGAAAAAAAAAAGTCAAACTAAATCCAAGTTCACGAACGTGAAATTGCGCGCAATTAAACCAGAAAGTTTAAGGTCAGACATTGGCGTGATTCGATTTTTTTTTCTCACAGTCGAAAGTTTAGATTTTATCTTATTCTAGTATAAAGTGAGTGCTTCATTTAATGTTATTTGAAAATTCCTTTATAGTCCTACACTATACATATATAGAATATTGACAATTTAGTGATAAAAAAAAAAAATTTCCTCCTGATTCACTAAATTCTATATATTATTCTATTTATAGAAATGGAAAAAAAAATTATTTCTTGAAATAAGGCCAATTTGGCTCATAAAATGATTGTACCTTCCAAGATCCAAAAGACTATCCAAAATGTTGACCGCCCTCGCTTGCGTTGAGGGTGCAATCGATTCCTTAAGACCAGGATCGCCAGGATGAATGAGAATCACAAGGCTGACACCAAGAATTGCATTCAGTAATGATGTCAGAATAAAATACACAAGTGTCCGAACGGCAATCATTCCATTCATTCGAGCATTTAAACTCGCAGAACCTTCAAAAAATAATACAATTTTTTTTTTTAATACACAGAAAAAAATCTTCAACTGGAACAGCGATAAGTTTCATTGAAATGGCGATATGTTTCACTAAAATAGCGAAAGTTTTCGCTATTCTAGAGAAACATATCGCTGTTCCAGATAAAGATTTTTTTTCCGTGTAATTAAAAATAACTCTTTTTTTGAGTTTTTCTCTGTGTTTAGGAAAAAATTAATCTCAATTTAAGCATATTCTTTATTAATTTTAAGAGGAAAACTAAATCTTCTTAATTTAAGAGAAGGAATGTCCTCTCACTTTGAGAGTAAAACTACACCTTCTAAATTTAAGAGTAGAAATATCTGATTATTTGTATAGGTAAAATTTAGATCTTGATATAAGAGGGGAAAATGTCCTCTCACGAAGAGTGGAAAACTATATTTTATTTAAGAAAAGTAATAGCCTCTTTTTTGAGAGGAAAACAACATTCTTAATTTAAGAGGAGAAATCAACGAAAAAAAATATTCTGAAATTTAGAATATATATACTTGGGATCTATTTTAGAATATTTTATTCTTAAATTCAGTATGTAATATTCTTAAAATTAGAATATATTCTTGATACTTAGTACATATTCTTAGTATTTAGTATATATTCTTAGCATTTAGAATACATACTAAGTACTAACAATATATTCTAATTTTAAGAATATTACACACTAAATTGAAGTATAAAATATTCTAAAATATGTCCCAAGTATAAATTCTAAATTTCAGAATATTTTTTTTTTTTTGTGATGTTCTTTCGTTTAGATAGAATAACTATACCTTTTTAATTTAAAAAACGTATTGGCCTCTTTTTTTAAGAGTAAAACAACACATTCTTAATTTAAGAGGAGAAATGTCCTTTCGTTTAGATAAAAAAAACTATATTTTCTTAATTTCAAGGAATAAAAATGTCCTCTGACATTTTTTTTGACATTCGCTGACAGCGAATCAAATTATTTGGTTGTCGCAACCAAATTTTGGTTAGGACAACAACGATCATTTGGTTTTTTAGACCAAATTATTTTGTTGTGTTAACCAAATTATTTTGTTGTTGTAACTAAATTTTGGTTGGAATTTAAAAATGTTCAACCAAATAATTTGGTTGGCTTAACCAAATGTTTGGTTGAGATAACTCTACGACTTTGTTTCAGCCAACCAAAATTTGGTTACAAGAACCAAAAAAAAAAAAAAGAGTAATAACCTCTCCATTTTACGGGAAAATGGCATATTCTTAATTTAAGAGGAGAAATTTTCTTTTATTTAGATAGAAAAATTATATTTTCTTAATTTAAAGGGATAAATATGTCCTCTTATCTAAAGATTTTAACTACCCATATCTTCTTAATTTAGTAAGAGAAGATTTAGGGAGAGAGATTCCTCTTACTTTGAGAGGAAAATAATATTCTTCTTTATACACAGAAAAACCCGTATACTAAATTTAAAAATATATTCTTGGCGAATATTTAAAAATATTTTCTGCTTAAATTCAGTATATATTATACGTGACGTATATATTATTCTTATAATAAGAATAAATACTTTATTCAAGTATAAAATATTCTTAAATATATATTCTTAAAATAAGAATATATACTGAATTTAAGTATAAAACATTCTTAAATAGACGCCAAAAATATATTCCTAATTTCAGATTAAAGGGTTTTCTGTGTAGAAAGTAGAAATATCTTCTCATTTTGAGAGGTAAATAATAAACTCTAAAATAGAGAAAATTTTTTCCATACTAAATGGAAAGTATAATGTATATATATGAGAATAATTAAATTACACATTTTGCAATTTTTTCCTTTTAATATATATAGAAGGATTAAAACCTTTTACATTAAATGTGATTATTCTTGTTATGAGAGGATAAAGCAAGAAGCTATTAGAATCCACTTAATATGAGATTACTTTGTTCTAAATATAGATTGTTCCATGTTAAAGTAGTTCGTAATTGAATTTTGAGATTAAAATTTTGAATACAATTATACAGGTAACATGTAATTCCATTAAATCGGTTTAATGTAATATAGAACATTTTTTTTTTTTTGGAGCTTAATAATAATTCTCTATACTTATATGTATAATGATAATATAATTCGTATCATATATATGAAAAGTTATATGATTTTACTTACCAGATATGAGACTGGCTATAACTAGAGGTAAAATCATCAATTTCAGTAACCTCATAAACAGTTCACCCGGATAACTAATTAACATCACAGCATCATCGCCGAGGCCCAAAGGACGCAGGCCAAACCCTATGAAATGAAATGAATGCAAAATTTTAATAATAATTAATAGAAAAATTTTATTCTAATAATGAGTTTTTCTTATAACTTTTGTTTTTTTTGTCATATAATAATAATAATAATAATAATAATAATTAACTATAATAATTTCCGTATTCATTCATTCATTCCGTCTGTCTACACTTGAAGTTAGTCGTATTTTGTTCCTTTTGTTTTTCTAAAATTTTGACAATTCTTGATTTCGTAATATTTTATGGTTAACACGACGGATATTTTTATTCATCGCCATTAATTAAGTCATATACTAAGTGACAATTTAAAGTAAAAGAAAAATATTGTTCATTGTGTGCAGCACCAGTATATTTCCTACTTGGTATTTATAGAAAAAAAAGTTTCAATTGAGCACCTTGATGCAAGAACCAGACATAGCTCTGAGAAGGCGTAGATAGTTGGCCCCTGGACACCAAAAATGAAAATTCAAAATAAAAAATATTTGAAAGCATATTCTTATTTAAAATTAAAAGCTGCATCTTTTTTTCCTCTGAGAAAAAGTTGTATGTTTTATCATTTTTTAAATAAACTTGAAAAACCGTTTTTTTCGAAAACGAGTTTTTAATTAAAATTTTGTATTCAACTCGCTAGAAAAAGCACAATTTTTAATATTTTGTAATGAAACTTAATATCAACAAACTTTATAATGTTCTCTTTGAGAAAATATGTTACAAAAGTTAATATGTTTATTTATAATTAAGTTAAATAATATTTATTGAGTAACGGTAAAATTTTTTTTTCATAATCTTTGAACGCGTAATCTATGCGGGGAATTTTTAGTAAATGAAAACTTCCAGTGAAGAAGTTGTTCGAAATACTATAAATAAGTTTTCTGTTAATTATTACTTTATAAAAATCAATAGAAAAAAATCTGTCAACATTTTGCTGAACGCGCGCGACCGCTCTTGAAGCAAATTTTGTGCCTGTAATATTCTGTTCTGTCAAACCAATGGATTGTAAGATCGACGGCTAAAGTATTTATTAACTAACTTTTTCACTTTTATAATTAAATAATAATAATAATTATTATTATTATTATTTATTTCAAAAACATTTATAAAAAAAAATTGACTACGATGAGCGTAAAATAATACGGTTTTGTAATATTTCATAGCTTTTTTATTTACACAGCAAAAACGAACGTCTTAAAAGTGTCTTAATGTAAAACACTATGACGTTTAAAAATGTCTTTTGTTAGAAATGCGTCTCGATTGGTACCGTATTTCACATTTTTTATGAAATTTATTATTAAAATTTGTAATTAAATGTTTATATGTCGCTATTTCTTGCGAATCGATTTGGAAAAATCGTTTAATGTTTTGAAACCGTCAATGTTTACTTTAAAGTATTTGAGACACTTAAAGCGTCTTAAATTCAGACACGCTTTTTTGTAGTATATGCAATACTAAAATAAATATTTTAATAAATTAACAAATATAAATTTTTGTTTAAAAAATATTCTTAAAATTGGCCTTTTTAAAAAGCAAACCTCTTTTTTTTGTAATCACTTAAATAAGTATTTTAAAAAGCAGACTATTCGTCGTCTAAAAAAATTGAGTCTTCCAAACTTTTTTTATGAGAAATTGTTTTAAAAAAATCATTAAAAAATTTTTGCCCTTTTGGAGAAAGATATTTAAGTAAACTTGTAACATCATTCATTTTAGCAGATGTTATACCAATTTGTGGAGGACGAATAACATTTTTGAGATCTTTCAGATGAATTGAAAGGTTGATGTTAAATAACAAAGGATTGTTTTCTTTATAATTATTATAAAATTTGACAACACCATTTGATGTATATTTTATTAAACACGCTTCGCTAATCCTCATGTTTTTCGGTAATCGTGGACGCGGAATTGATTTTTCAAAATCTTGTAACAAATCTTTCGCTGATTCCACAACAATAAATGGAGGTTCCTTGCATTCTTTAATCAATGTGACATAGTCTTCTTCTGTTTCAATTCGCTCTAATTTTTTTTTTTTTTTTGAATACACGCCGAAGTTTCTGTCACATTGACAATAAGAATGCCCACGGACTGGGAAAATGTGCCAAATTTCAATATTGAGATCGCGTGACAGTGCTAGCAAAAAAAGCATTACGGTGTAATTTCTATTTTGACTGCCTGCTGCGTCAGAAAAAAATACAATTTTCTTAAAACGACCTTCAACAAATTCTTTTTCCATTACATATTTTAAAAAGCTACAAACAGTATTAGCTCCTTTTTTTATAAACCCTTCCAAAAGAGGAAACATGTAGCTGTTTTTGGAATTAAAACAATGTACATTAAATAAATAAAGCGATAACAATCGTTTATAATACTGGTCCGACACTGAAATTTTAGGTAACGGAAGATTTTGTGCATAATCGAATTCAAAAGAAAGAACATCTTTATCCGAAAGGATTTGCTTTTTTAAAGCTTGGTACTCTGAAACTGATTGTTTGTGATTCAAAATAAATTCAGATTCCACAGCTTCTGCAGAACTTAGATAACAATCATTGCAAACATCAGTCCTAGGTAATCTGAATGAAAAATTTAAATGATAATTGAAATATTTACTGTAAGTAGAAAAATCCAAATCTAGTAAATTTTCATTTCCGGTTACATCAGCATAATATTTTAGAAATTCTTCATACAATATTTTTAAATTTAACGACGGATTTGTAAAATAATTAAGCGACGTATTCTCTCTCCTATAATGAGACTGCTGGTGTGGTATTGAATAACAATGTATCTTAATCATTTCTTTTACATCGTCAGTTAATTTAACGCTTCGATTTTGATGTTTACCTCTCAAGTCATTTAAGCTTTCATTTTTAATCATTTTTTTCTGAAGTCCTTCTAGTCTCGCTTTCCCTAAACTTAAGACTGTAAACAAAAACTTTTTGCAAACTAGAATATTTTCTTCATCGGTTGAAAAGTAATATTCCCATTTAATCAATCGCGGAACTTCTTTACCATTGATGAAGGCCGGATCTTTAAACTTCATTAAATAACTAAGTAAAATGTTCTGTTTCTCATAATTTTGTAAATTCCAAAATTTTGTGTGAAATTTTTCTTGCTGTGCAGATGGTATTTTCATACAGCAATTCTGATTACAACAAGCTTCCATTTGCACGAACTTTTTTTCAGCAACAAGTTTGTTGGAAGTCGAGACATATTCGGCACCCTGATTAATAATATTTATGTTACAATAAATTATAATTTGAAAAGATTTTAATATTTGTATCAATTTTATTTAATTTTTTTATTAATGCTTTAAAATAGATATAGTAAAAATTATTAGTTAATTATTATTAGGCCCACAAATTTTGATTTTCTAAAATAAAATAAATAAAACACAATTCTTTCGTGATAAAATAATCTTATAATAATACATACTTTGTTTCGACAATTCTTTTTTATGTTTCTGGACCAATCTTGTTTACACACTTTCCTTTTCCTTCCCCTTGAAGGATTTTGCGACATATTCTTCATAAATTTAGAAAATAGATTACCACAATAACATTAATATTCACCACTTATTCCATTACACTTTACAATTTGACACTCTCGAAAGTTTAGAGAGAAATAAAGGAAAGTGAATTAAACAACAAGTTTTGTCCATTAAATGTAAACAAAACAAATTTCCCGCAGTATAAACCAAAGACTTACCAAATGAAAAATTTTAAACAAAATATTATTTCTTTTCGTATAACACAGTAAAAGAAAAACTTATATATTCATTTTACTGGATTATAAATTTCATTACTTCAGAGTAATAAATAAATGCCGTTGAATTATTAAATTTTCTATAATATAAATAAAAGAATATGTTTCCTTTTTTAAAAGTGTTTCATTTTAATTAAAAAATAATGCAGAAAATCGTAGTCAATTTTTTTTTATAAATGTTTTTGAAATAAATAATAATAATAATAATTATTATTATTATTTAATTATAAAAGTGAAAAAGTTAGTTAATAAATACTTTAGCCGTCGATCTTACAATCCATTGGTTTGACAGAACAGAATATTACAGGCACAAAATTTGCTTCAAGAGCGGTCGCGCGCGTTCAGCAAAATGTTGACAGATTTTTTTCTATTGATTTTTATAAAGTAATAATTAACAGAAAACTTATTTATAGTATTTCGAACAACTTCTTCACTGGAAGTTTTCATTTACTAAAAATTCCCCGCATAGATTACGCGTTCAAAGATTATGAAAAAAAAATTTTACCGTTACTCAATAAATATTATTTAACTTAATTATAAATAAACATATTAACTTTTGTAACATATTTTCTCAAAGAGAACATTATAAAGTTTGTTGATATTAAGTTTCATTACAAAATATTAAAAATTGTGCTTTTTCTAGCGAGTTGAATACAAAATTTTAATTAAAAACTCGTTTTCGAAAAAAACGGTTTTTCAAGTTTATTTAAAAAATGATAAAACATACAACTTTTTCTCAGAGGAAAAAAAGATGCAGCTTTTAATTTTAAATAAGAATATGCTTTCAAATATTTTTTATTTTGAATTTTCATTTTTGGTGTCCAGGGGCCAACTATCTACGCCTTCTCAGAGCTATGTCTGGTTCTTGCATCAAGGTGCTCAATTATAATATAATTTTTATTATTATTTATAAATATATTATATTATATATGTGACGCGACGCAAAGAAAGGTACCTAAGAAGGCAAAAATCGATTTTCGGATTATGATTGTTTTCGATAAACTAAAGATTGCTTTTCAATTATCTGAAGTTAAAATTAATTTTTATCTAATACTTTTCTTGTAATAACGATTTAAAGATGAACAATTCGTGCTAAGAGTTGATTCTCTTTTTCCTCACGCACACATATCTACGCTCCCCTCTCACTGTAACCATGCGCCACTTGAAGTTCGGGTCGGTATTCGTGATTTAGAGAGAGATGCGCTGACTACACCGTTCTCTCTCACTACGAAAGCACGTGAACGAGGT